GTGCTCGGATGTTTCTTTCTTGTGGCGGAAGTTTCGGAAGTTGATAATGTTTACTTTTGCAGCTAGATTGATCTCAAAGAGCTTTGAAAGGTTTGAAGGATAGGTGCAGTAGCTTGTTGGCATTGGCATGGCAGAGGAAGAGATTCCCATGGGCCAAGTCACTCCTGAGGAGAAGGACGATGGATGGTGTAGTTGAAGAGCCCAGTACACCTGTGAAGCAAAGGCCAGCTGCCAAAGCAAAGACCCCAAAATCCAAGAGCCCAAAAGCAAAGAGCCCTAAAGGGAAGAAGCCCAAAGCAAAAGGAAAGAGCAAGCCAAAGCCAAAGCCAAAGGCATGCTCTTTGAAAAGGCCTGCTGCCAGTGGAGAAACTGTACAGCCAAAGAAGAAGCCAGCAGCTCATGGCTGGGCAGCAGGGTTGCAGGAGGATCAGGAGGAGGAAGCACCAGAAGTTGAAGAGGATCAACCAAGAGAATGTGGAGGAGGAGGAGGAGGAGGAGCAGGACAATGCAGACTTCTTCTAGTGCTAGTGCGATGAGGCCAAGAAGGACAGGTCGAAGGACAACAAGTTCAAGGCCTTGTTGTCTGAGGGCTCTCTGCCAGACTATGTTGCGCAGGCTTGGAAGAAGACCTTGAGCATGAAGAAGGGACGCACAGAAGAACAGCGCAAGATAGTGAACCAAGTCCTGGACAGGACAAAGGATGGAAAGCTCATGGTGCTTATACCCAAGTTATTTTTCTTGCGCTTGTTTTTCCTGTGTGCTTATACCTGAGTGTGTGTGTGCTTGTGGTTTTATCCAAATGTCTCTACTTGTGGCTATATGTTTTACAAATTACTTTCTTCAAAAGATGCGTTTTAGATTGAATATTTGCCAATCAAAAAGTAATGAAAAATAGGAAAAACCCTTAGTGAAGACCAACCTAAATAAATTTAGGTTGTACCTAAATCAAAATTACATTTACTAACCCATTTACACTTTTTGCCACCTAAATTCATCAATTTACGTAAATCCAATAAAAATGTAAATTTACTAATTTCGGTGACTTAGGGAAGTGCGTTGCCAGTCCGACGACCTTCTTCCGATACTCGATGAGTGCGCGACTTTCATCTGCGCCGCCGCTGTGCTGCTCCAACGTGATCCAAGAAGGCTCTTTCTCCAGTATAGCGCCGAAGTCGCACAAACGACACTGAAACCGCTGTAACGGTTTCTCCACGTCGCCCTCCTCCTGAGAGCATAACACTAAACGCGACAACGCTCCACCGACTCCAGAAAAGGTGGGTGCGCACGCCAACATCTGCGCCGCTCTGCGCAACTTGGTCTCAAACTTCAGGTTTACATTGGTCAACAGCGCAAAGACTTCTTTGGCCGTCTGGGTGTGTGGCCTCTCCGCCGCCTATGGCGGTGTCGCCATCCATGTCCACGTCGACAGTGGGTGCGTCGCCAGCAAACAGTACTGCGCCCAGTGGCGCGAAACAGCTCTTCACCACATCACCTTCACGCCGCCCAGGGATGGGCTGCATCATTTGCCTCTCTACGTCCGATCTCCACTTCACACACCCATCACCGTCATCCGAGGCCTCCAAACAATCCAACTTCAATTCCTGAATGCTCTCCACATCGGCCGGATACGCAGCTCGCATCATGCGACAACGTGCGCTCTTCTCCTTGTTGCAGTAGTTTGCGATGCGCCTGTGCAGGACGCTGTCTTCGTCGGCCGTCGGTAGTCGAGCGCAGTGCTGTTCTTCCTGCCATAGTATATCCAGCTCCAACTGCACCACCACCGGCGAAATACCACTCCTATCCGAGCAACGCCATGCACAGACTCAACACCGACAACGACACAGAAACGACCAAATATTCGCGACAGGATCACCACACATGGTTGCTTTCATCTAACAAAATGATAGATAAACGTGCTACTCTGCGCGCTTCCTCCTCGTCACGGTACTCTTGTTTGCTTCACTCGGACAGCCCCGACCGTCAAGCAAACGATCGCCAGAAACTAAATAAAGTATTTCACAAACACTAATTGTTTCAGCAGAGTGAAGCGCAGAGAATATACATGGACGGTTTCGTCGACGCCTGGGAGAAACATTACGGGCCCTCGACGCACACAGTTCTCGCACAAGCGCTGGGCTGTGCCGGGCGCGAAGAGCTTGTAATGAAGGTGTGTTGCGCGGATGAAGTAGTTGTGTGACCAGCGTCCACGCAAATCGCACGTACTTCTTTTTCTGATAGTGAGCCGAAGGAAAACACTCTGACCAAGAACAGACATCCACTCCTCCTGCAGATCTCTCCCAACCATATCTCCGCATCAAGCAGCGTAAATACGCCGCGTCTGCGACATCCAGCTTGCCTCGTCGCTGACGCAACTCTCCGTCTTCTTCCACCACCAAGGCCTTCGCGCCCCATAGTATGTCCAGCGCCGCCTGCGACAAGCATCTAAAACAAACAGTTGACGACGCAGACTTACCCAGCACCTGCAGACAACGACCCTGATACCCTTCTCCCAACATCGATAACACGCGATCAGCCTGAACGTCCAAATCACATCGACACCCTCCTGCCTCCAGAACATTTTCACGACACGATCTTCGTAACCATCCATCAGGTCCCATTCGTGCCCAGATTTGGTTGTGTGCACATGCCACAAACGGGCAGCCACTTCCAACGTGTCTGTTTAGACGCTGAACCCTATCAAGCGACACCAGCCACGTCGCCTTTCCTCTGATATACCCAGTAGCACACAGGACAGTAACGCGACCACCTGATGTCACAACAAATGTTCCACTCTCAAGGCAGACAAAAAACCTGGTAATCACGAAAGGTAGCCCTTTAGGGGATACCTTGAGTTTGACTTGCGAAGCAAGTGTCGGCGAGTCCGGGTCTAATAATTGATCATTCAATTCAACCCCCCCCCCTTGGAATTGATTTTTCAATACAGACCCCCCCCCTCTAAATTCAATTCTCCGCTGGAGAACGCCTTCGTGAGCCTCTCATGATTTCAGGATAGTTGAAACCCTCTTGCCCTCTTGAACATTCAGAAAGAGTGCATATGAAATTCGAATTACGAAATGTGTTCTCGTTAAAATACCATTCTCTCCTGGAGACCATCTTCGTAAGCGTCTCTGTGTTCCCCGAAAGGATCGCAAGGTGTTACATACCTAGAGTTTATTTTCTTCTCTCCTGGGGCCTCTTAATTTAATTCTCTCCTGGAGCACGTCTTTGTGAGCCTCTCATGATTTCAGGATAGTTGCAACCCTCTTGAACATGCAGACAGAGTGCATATGAAATTCTAATCACGACAGGTGTTCTTCGAGGGGATACATACCTAGAGTTTGTTTTGTGAACCACGTCTATTCTCTTTTGGGAAACGTCTTCTCTGGTTTCAGAATAGTTTAAACCCTATGATGCTCCGATTCTATGCTCACCGATGATCTGAGCCATGGGGCGAGGTTGTTTCCCTAAGAACCTTTCTGAACATTTCGAGAGCATATGAGCAACGGCTTCTATTTGCGGTAGTGGTGATTGGTCTAGGGGCGTTCCTTTTCTATAGCCCAATGTCAGAGTTAGTTGGCGAAACGAGGTAGGAACACCCCGAAAACGAGATGGGCATCAAATGCGCCATTTGTTTGCAATGGTTTGGTTAATGACATGTTTAGCTTGTGAAACGAGGTAGGAAGACCTCTCGAGAACGAGATGGGTTTCCACACACCAAAACGAAATACAGGCATGGAGACCCAGATCACACACCAAAAACGATGCGGGCTTGGAGACCGCTGCTGTGGCTCGAAGTATGCCACTCGCGTTCTCTTCTCTTCCCGCTGTCCTACCTTTCGTGTCTCCCTCCTCTCAAGTTGCAATAAATCCACCGAATCCAGAGCAGCTTTGCTGGGTAACGCTTCTGCGACCTCTTCGAACATAGCCAGCTCCACCACGCGACTATCCAGGGTAGCGCGCGTGAGATGCAATACCTCCACCTCACCCACGGTCTTGTCAACCGCCGCAAAAGGCTTGCGCCACACCTGCCACCGCCATCTTCACCAGGCTCCTGCTCGAAACAAAAAGGACGGCCATGTATGATACACATGACTCCCAAAGAACAGATAACATGTCACTTCCGGCGTGCAAACCTCAACCCCAGCAACAAACCTCAACCTCAAACACCAGCGCGAACAGAACTTCTCCAAGGTCATTGTTTGAACATGTCCCTACCTCTATCCGAACACAGCGCCTGAGCCTGCTCATGTTGGCGCCAAGGATTCCATGAACGCAGAACGCAGTTGTGCAACGGGCAGCCCTCTCTCGCCTATTATATTGGCCCTGATGCCTCCGGCAACAGCTACACTGCGTAGCTCTACCACTCCCAACTCTTGCAAACGTCCACGAAGCCATTCCGCTCCCTCGTTCCCGGCATTGTTCCGGAACTCCTCCCATCGAGCTTCCGCTGCAGACCTTGAGGACGAGCTCGCCTGCAACAAGGCATACCTTGTGTTTTTTATACTTATAACTTAGTTCTGAATGGGACAACTAGACTTATATCCATAGTTATAACCATGATAAGTTGCGTAAGTTCTACGAAAATGGCTTGGAACTTATCGTAGTTATATAGATACTTGTGCTAGTTATGTTAAAAATTATGCATACTTATAAGTACAACGTAAGTATGACGAAAAAACAATGTTCTACTTATTTTCTACTTATCCTACTTATGGGGATAGAGGTTTTGAGGGTTGTCCTGGCAGTTGGGCTCAAGCAAATATAGACTGTGGGAGAATTTTTGTGGGAGGCATGGAGACGCGCACACGGCGACCTGTGCAAGACTACACGCACGCAGCGCATATGCTCAGCGAGGGAGTCTGGGCGCAGCTGCAACCGACATCTTGTACACCTTGGACGCCGTGGGCGTGCTGGTCTCTGAGGTGTATAAGCTGGAAGCCTCTATCGGGCTCATTGGGCCTATGTAGAGCACTTACTGGGCGCAAGAAAACGGAGTGCCCGGAATTGTGGGAAAATTGTGAGAAATTGTGGGAAGACTTTGGGGAAGTAGATTGTGGGAAAGACCCTGCCAATTACCTTTAATAAGGGAAATTGTGGGAAGATTGAAAAACAATGAAATCATTTGTGGGAAATTTGTGGGAAGACCGGGATGGGACATATTTTTTTGTTTTTTTTGTGGTTTGTGGCTTCCGCGCCGCTCGTTTTTGTTGTTGTTTGTGTCATGTCTCCGACACCTCCGCAGAGCCGCAGAGATATCTAAACATATATATATATATACACGGCCCCAGACAGACTGCCGCGGCCAAGTCCAGCCGCGCGCCGACCAGTGCACACGAACATATATATATGTGTATATATAAATACAGATGTCTTAAATATGCGGCTGCATCTGGTTGAAATTTACCAAAACACAGAAAGAAGCAAAACCTTCAAAAACACAACATGTTCTACTTACCGTCGCACTTGTCCTACTTATTCGGTAAGGTCCATAAGTAGGATAAGTATACTTATGTTACTTATAAGTATAAGTAGCGTAACAGGACTTATAAGTAAAAAAACACAAGGTAGGAACGCAAAAGAAAACGCAAGTCCCATCAGCCAGAAAAATCACTTCCAACCTCACGCCGGCATTATAATTACTTAACAGAACATATATCCTGTAACTTTTTCAGCGCGCACCTATCTATACCCAAAACACAGCGATTGGGCCTGCTCTGTTGGCACCAAGGCTTCCATCAACGCAGAGCGCAGTTGCGCAACCGGCAGCCATCTGTCGCCTATCTTCGC